ATTTAATAATATAATGTTTATATAAATAATAATTAATTATTTTGTTATAACTCAATGATTATCTTAATTATATTTTGGATTCTTTATATTTAAAATGAAATATTTGTATTTGATTATGTTTATCTGCAGTTAGTTACACGGATTCAAAGATTGAGCTTTAATAAGTTGTACTTACACACAGTTTATTTGTAATATTGAATCTTAAGTAATATGCATAAATAAACAGTATTTCATGCATAAAAATTGTTTTTAAGAGTTTTTTATCAAATGTTTTGTAATACAGTATAGATATATTTGTTTTTGTTTGATTTATGTTTTATGATTTTGTGAGGGTTTTTTAGAGTGTGTTAGAGTTATCAGCTTTGTAGGGTATTTTATGGTATTGGTATCGCTCAAATCTATGTTTATTCTGAATATGAATGTGTTTATCAGTGGATTTTGATCGGTTATCAGTTTTATTAAGTATTTTTTTCATACAGTAGATTTTATTGTTCAACATGCATCATGTATCTGAATATATTTATCACTTGGTTTTAGTTGATTGTCACTCGTATAGCGGAGTTCATTGTCCAACACTTATCGTGCATATCAATATGTTTATCAATCGGTGACGACTTAGTTTCATGCAGTTAACACACATGAAGATTTAAGAAGATGTATGTATGGAATAATAATTGTAAATAGTTTATAGTAATATATTAATATGGATACATCCGTGATCGAAATTTTAATAACCGGGTTAAAAATTAATATATATATATATATATATATTATAAAACATTTGACAAAATTCTTAAAAACCATTTTTTAAGCATGAAATACTGTTTATTGATACATATTACTTAAATTCAAAATTAAGTAAATTGTGCGTATGTACAACTTATTAAAGCTTCATGTTTGAATTCGTGTAACTAACTGCAGATAAACATAATCAAATAGATAATAAACATCTTCTTTTAAATAAAAAAATCTAAAATATAATTAGAATAATCATTGAATTCTAACAAAATACTTAATCATTATCTTTATAAAAAGTTATATTATTATACCAAAAAAAATTAAAAAAAATACAAAAAAAAAAAAATTAAATAGTTAGTTTGATATCAATATCAATATTTTTTTTCAATTTTTTATGATATATCTTTATACTTATATTTTATTAAAAAAATAAAAACAATGTTTTTTTTTTCAAAACCACATAAAACTATATTATAACATTGACTGAGAGAAGAAAAAAAATAAAATATTAAAATCGAGATGTATCTCGCTGCATTGTACGAGTACTCTTCTAGTATATATCAATATATACTAGTCTTTTAATATAACTTGTTTTTAAAAAATTAAATGTATTTTGGATGACTTCAATTTTAAAACACATCTACCAAAGAAGGTATTCAGTCTTTTATAAGGTAATTTTAGTTCTCATTCACAACCGATGTGGGATTTATAGATTTCTTTTATTCGTCGATCGATCTCTTTTCATACTGCTTCAAGCCAAATTGCTAATTGAAACCTGAATTTGAATAGCATAAGGTGCAATATCAATCAAAGATGAAGCATGTTCAACAAAGAGGCCTGATCGGAACCATGAACTGAACTTTAGGGTTGGGTCTTCTCCTTGAGCCGGAAATAGATAGCCAAAAATCATTCACGAAACTGGCTAGTCTCAAATCGATCCTTTCAGAATCAAGCATGTTGGTCTAATCCCGACCAAAAATCATAGGACTAAACGGCTTGTTTTTTTTTTAAATTGATCTTTTATTACACAAAAATGTTTTACATGTTTTATAACTATAATTTTTAAAATTTAGCATTGAAATAGGTTTTTTTTAATATATACGACAAATGCAACAAATAAACTCACACACCCTCCTCACCTTTGATGAAGTTTGAACCCCTGACCTTCTAGGAGACCAAAGAGTATGATACCACTAAGCCAAAGACCCTTTAGTAAATTTAGATACATTCAGATATCATTTACAAAAACTTGAAAAATAAATTGTATAAGAGCATCTCCAACAAATTCTTTTTATAAATAGAAAACAAAAAATCAAAATCTCCCAAAAAAAAACATTATATTCATCCCCAACATATTCTCTATTTTAAAAATCAAACCATTAATTATATTATAAAAATATTCAATACATTAATAAAATATTGTCTCTCTCCTTTGAGACGAATTGTATTATCTATTTTGATATATAAGATGTAAAATTGTAAACATTTAAGTACCCGGATAACTTGACCGGTTGAAGTATTAACCGATTATCATTCTGATGTAGTATCCGATTAATGCTTCAACATATAATATTGAGTTGGATACCACATCACTCGCAACATCAACATGGTAACCAGTTAATGCTTCAACTGATTACCCGGGTATTGAAATGTATAATATTTTATATCATAGGTACCAAAATGAAAGTTCTAAAAGTACGTTAACCAAAATAGGTATTTTATTTATTCATGCAATTCCCCTATTTTAAAAAATGTTTTAGAAAACCTGTTGCAAAAAAAAAAACACCAAAAATCTCTATTTTAAAGATGCTGTTGAAGATGCCAATTAGACCATCTCTAGAACATGACCTGAATCATTTTGATGGTTCTTTTTTTGTCAACATTTTGTTATGAAAATCCTCCACATATTCACCTGTCTGTTATGGAACCATAAATGAAGGATTTCTATTATGGACACAAACCACACGCACAATTACAATTTCAAACACTCAGCTCGCCCGACCTCAACTCGACCAATAAAACGGGAAAAACAACCAACCAACCAACCAAACCACACAGATATACAAAGATTTACAATAAATGATGGAATAACAACACCGCTCGAAAAAATATTCTAAAACATCGTGACTAGCCCTCGATCGGAGTGCCAGTCCTGGCTTGTGATATACGGTTAGCGTATATGGTTACTAGTCGCAACTGTGTACTGTTGAGACCTTCTAAATGTGGCAAGAAGGCTTTTCCGAGCATTATGTAGATATCAACCAGGCAAAACACCACCGTCTGCCATCAACAAGATATTATGATATGCATCGATTAATAAACAAGCATCGACGCTCTTCTCGAAGAAAAACGAAAGAAAGTTATTATTTGGAGTAAATTACGTTTTTCGTCCTTGTGGTTTGTTGAACATTGCTATTTTCGTCCTTGTACTTTTGAAATCACGATTTTCATCTCCATAATTTACAATTCGTTGTTAGTTTTCGTCCTTATTTCCTTATACTTAGACGTAGGAGCAAGCTTTAGGGATGAAAATAGCAATGAATTGCAAACCACATGGACAAAACTGTAATTCCGGAATCATAGGAACGAAGGTCACAATTTTTAACAAACCATACGGAAAAAACGTAATTTACTCTTTTAGTTGTGTTTTTCACGCAAAGGAAGGAATGGAAAGAAAACAATTTTTCATGTTATTAGATGAAAGGAAATATGTCACCCTTACATATATACCCTCCATATTTGTTTGAATAAACTACGTTTTTCGTCCGTGTCGTTTGTTGAAAGTTGCTATTTTCGTCCTTATGTCTTCAAAATTACAGTTTTCGGCCTTATAGTTTACAAATCGTTGCTTTTTTCATCCATGTGGTTTACAATTCATTGTTTCTTTCGTCCCTTTGGTTACAATTTATTGCTATTTCAGTCCCTCATACTTGATGGTAATGAATTGCCTCGAGTACAAAAACAACAATGAATTACAAACCACATGGACAAAAACCGTAATTTCAGAAGTACAATAATCGGACTTTTAAACAAACCATAGAGACGAAAATCGTAACTTACTCCATTTGTTTTCTCACTTCCCTTATTTGTGGTACAAGGGTATTGTGTCATAAAAGATAAGAGACTCCTTTCAAATTCTCTCCATTTCTTCCCATTTTTAGGAGGAAAGTTTTGGAAGGTACATAAAATAAAGAGTAAATTACAATTTTGTCCCTGTGGTTGTTAATAATTTTGATTTTCGTCCCTGAGGTTTAGAAATTGCAATTTTCGTCCTTATGATTTGCAATTTATTGTTATTTTTGTCTCTGGGCTAATTCCTACATTAAAGTATAAGGGACCAAAACAGTAAAGAATTGGAAACCACAGAGACCAAAACAACAATAAATTGTAATCATAAGAACGAAAAAAGCAATGAATTACAAACCATAGGGACAAAACCGTAATTTCTAAACCATAGGGACGAAAATCGAAATTTTTAACAAACCACAGGGACAGAAACGTAATTTACTCTCAAACAAATAATATTTTCCCTCCTAGAAACTTTCCCTCCCTCTTTTTCCTACAAAAAGAACGTTTCGAGAACACATTTAACTACTTACCTTGCGAACGTCTGCACTCTGGTTACCGAAAGCATCAAAAAGCGCAGGCAAAAACAACGGTAATTGAGCCATTAATTCGTCTTGGGAGAGCCGATCCACAAGCTGAAGACAAGGGTAACAGAGAATATATCATCAGCTTTGCTATCATTTCGAATGCGAAGCTTAAATAGATATGATTTACTTAAGCTGCAGGTGACAAAATGCTTCTCCCACGACTCATTCACAAAAATGGAAATGGTTAAATGGATGGAGCTTAACCTTCATTAACACACCTTCATCTAACCTTCATTTACTTGTATCACCATGATTGAAATTTTAACAAATTTATGCATTGTGAAAGTGACTGAAGGCATATATGAAAGCAATTTAAGGCATGTGAATGTTCGTGAAGGTAAAGATGAAGGTCCGTGTTTCTTTGTGCACCGTCAGCATAAAAAGAACTCATCCAAAGGCTCAAATATATTCTCACCGTTCTCACCAAACACATTGTTCTCCCATGATCCCAACTCTTACTCTGAAATACCTGACATTATCTCTATTTTATTTATTATATCTTTGTATAACAGATTGTACCTATTGACAGTCTGAGCTATCTAGCTAAAGAACAATCTTTTTGTTTGCATATTTCTACCAAATAAAGTGTTCTAATGGGTAATATTGTACCTATTGAAAATTTGAACTATCTAAGCAAAAGAATGATTTTTTTTGTTTGCAAAGGTTGGAGACATTTCGACCAGATAAAGCATCCTAAGTTTCACTTACACACAGCACTTGAAAAAGAATGAAGAAAACCCAACCGCAGAAGTAGAGAAAGATGACCAATTTGACATTCTGGGAAAATCAAACTTCGAAACCAACCAATTCGAGTTGAAGAATTTCCAAATTCAAGAGATCGGTAAATAATATTTTTGCAAATGTATATAACTGGGATGCCAGCATGTACCATGTGTGCCTAATAACGAAGTCATGCAAAAACAGGAAAGAAAAGGAAATATGGAAATTTCATGGCATCGAGTTAAATAATGGATTCAACGAGTATATTAAGGTACGAAAGGGTCATTGGCTCAGCGCCTCAGCGGTACCCGCTTCTACTGGTACCGGTAGACCCCTGGGAGCGTGTGCATTAGTACTTGACGTATATAAATATTAGAGTAAGTTATGTTTTTCGTCCCCTTGGGTTGTTGAAAATTGCTACTTCCGTCCCTGTGCTTTTGAAATTACGATTTTCATCCTATGGTTTACGATTCATTGCTGTTTTTGTCCCTACATTTACATCTTATTGCTGTTTTTGTCCCTATGGTTTACAATTCTTTGCTGTTTTCATGCCTCGTACTTAAAGGTAGAAGTTAGCCATAGGGATGAAAATAGCAATTCATTGCAAAACGCAAACCATAGGAATGAAAACCGCAATTTTGCAACCATGGGGACGAAAGTTGCAATTTTTAACAAAACACAGGGACGAAAACGTAACTTACTCTATGTATTATATACTTCAAAAAAAGGTATATTGAGTTACAGAACAAACTACCTTTGTCAAACAGTTTATACATGTAACAAGAGTTTTTTCATCTTCAGCAACCAACAATGGGATGATAACCTACAAAGTTAGAACACAAAAGGTTGAGACATAGCAAATGACCCAACAAATTAAAATACCTGCATATGTTTTCAAGTAATAATTTACAATCTAGAATGACTTACACTCAAAGATCTAAAAGGATCATACTGAGACAGAACAATAGTCAAGCAATGCTCTGCTTCACTTGCTACCTGCATTTAGACCACAGGATCATAAGGGGAGAAAGGCAAAACGATCTCTGTCCCAAAAGGGTCCACTTTTAGGGTACGTTTGGTACACTGGACAAAAATAACAAGGATCATTGTTCCACGTTTGACAGTAACAGACAAGAACAGGTGGAAACAAAGCGGAACAGGCGTGTTCCACCCCACCCCCACCCCCATGGAACAAGATGGAACAAACCTATATTTTACCAATATAATCTCAAAATAAAATTTAATTATCTTCTAAAACATAAAATATGCATCCCTCTTCTGTTTACATTTTATTCATTCTTTAAATTTTATTTATTGTATTCTATGCTCTTTAAACTTTCACTTTATTGTCCTCAAAATATTATTTTATGTGAATTCTATATTTTGGTTAATTTATGTAATTTGTTAAATATCAATAATATAGAAAATGTTATAAAATAGAATTTGGAAACTACATAAACCTTTTATTTTGGTTTCATTTTAATCGTGTTGTCGAAAATTTCCTAATGATATATTTTGTTATAAAAAATAGTTAATTTATTATAATTTAATAAATTACCATTATTAATCAAAATATATAAAAGATATAAACAACTCGTTAGGGGTAAATTGGTCATTTCATATGTTCTTTCCAGTCCAGTCTGTCTTACCAAACGCTGAACATCTATTCTGTCATGTCCTATTCTGTCTGGATACCAAACGCACCCTTAAAGACTAAGCATGAAATGGGCGCTTCCAAGTACAGGATTGACAAAATTTTCAAAGAAAAAAAGGCCCCCGTTTTTGTGAGTGCACAACGAAGCTATGATAGAAAAACTCACTTTTGGGTTTGTGACCTTTGTAACATGTAGTAATTTTTCAACTACAATCTCAACAGAATCCTCCATCCCGTCTTTCTGGTGAAAACAGCATAACATTCATGTTATAACAGAACTCAAAAAGAGGGTGGGGGTTGATGAAAACTAAATGCCAGTAAGATATATCATCTTGAAAAAAGGAGCATAACGAAAAAAGACTCGGAACAAACCTGATTCTTCAGCATTTCAACTATTAATGCAAGAGCAAGTTCCTGAACTGATGAATCATTGTTGTCCAAAACCTCAAGTCCAACCGTCAAAATTTGGTTAAAATACTACAAATACACAACATAAATGTATATTAGCACAATTTTTCCTCAAAATAAATATTTGCTACTTAATTCATGCATTATTGATAAGATGCAACTTCAACAGTGTCATGGAGAAACACAAAAGGCAAATACAAAAACCGTTTCTGCAACATATAAATGATCATCCGTGTTATGATCTGTATAACATCAGAAGGACAAATCAAGCGGCTGTTTGGTTGGGTTTCTATCAAGTCCTGTATGGATAAAGCTGTCTGTGTGGATTAATCTATGGACTGGGAAGGTTTTTTTAGAGGTTTTTTCATAGATGGAAGGTGCGTGTTTTTTAATTGGGAGGAACAGGTTTGTAAAAAAACTTGGCTTTCTGCATAAAGCTTCCTCCTAGAAGCTTACTGAATAAGCCACTTTCTATATATAGCTGACCCAATAAGCTGTGAGTCCCATTAAGCTCATTAAGCTGCTAACAAACAAGCCCTGAGACACATATACTAAATTCTTTTGGAAGGTACAGTTAATGTTAGTAGAATATTACGAGCAACTCCCGATTCTTTCCTGAAATATAAATCGATATCCACTTGATCATTTTGATTTCACTACAAACTCCAGCACCGATTAAATAAAATCCCATGACATAATAATGGTAAGACAATTTATATGGTGATGGTAGCAACAAGTGATTATGCCTAGCAACGTCTGCCGAGAAGTAAGTGGTTATAGAAGAAGCATCAATAAAAATTTGTTACAGAACTGAACGTACTTGTTAAAACTCTATTTAGTATGAGGATGATACTAAAGTGTAACATTTCTCTGTATGGATTAAGTAGCTAAAACCAGCAATTTTGTAAATGTTTTCCGGTTCCCCAATCAGAGGCGAAATGAAGAACAGAAATCGAAAATACATATGCAGTAGCATACATATGTCGCTGATATAATGTAAATAAGCAGCATCATACATAAGCATCCATTAAAAATGTAAAATAGTTGCTGATAATTTTCTTTCCATAATTCTGGCAAATACTTGTAACCCATATCACAGTATCAGGTGGGATGGAGGAAGGACACGAACGTGAGACCTCATTTCCAATGACTTAACACCCTAACCAACCAGGCTATCATCCCGAATCTGATGAAAGAGGATGAATTGAGACGGTATTTTGTAAATACGTAATTATCTTGAAAAGATTAACCATTTCTTATTTTCCGGTCGCCTGAGAAAAGAAAGATCTTTTTGTTTCTTCCAACAATTTCGGATATCTAGTGGACCTCTCAGTAGGATTCGAACCCAGATGAAGTTCTGACCATCAGTCAGAGAAAAAAGAACAAATGGATCTTGTAGGATTCCCAAGAAATTCTTCAATTTCTTCCGGAAGCAGATGACTAATCATCTGCTTCTCACGTTCCATGAATAGCCGGGATTGAGAAATATCCAGAAAGGCATTTCACGAATCGGTGTGATTCTATCTCTCTCCTTCCATTTGAAGGAAGGAAGGATCCTACGTTAGCCAAACACCCTATCCATATTTCAGTAGACCTGAGACAGGATCCAGTTGGGTCAAGTTATTGTGTCAGTCACATATACGGAGTTCCAATCCATGTCCAGAAAATCATATTCAAACCGAAATAGAGGATGGTTTACAAAACCCAGACATAAATCAACTACCCCTCCTAGGCACGAGGTAACCAGATAGTTATACGAGTGAAAGGAACGGCTTAGAAATTTGCAGTAAAGGTTAAATTGGATACGATTGGATGGTACTAACAAAATCGTGTGCCAACTCCCATAAAAAAATGACATATATTTTTGTATCAAACCACGTAGGGGTAGCAGGAGCAACTTTTAATTTATTACGAGCCCAAATGATGGATTCAAATTCACAACTAGTTGGGAGTTTCTGCCTAATAGAGGCTAGTTAAGTACCAAGGCAAGATGAGGTTTACCCTCAGAATATAACTATGTTTCATTCATCCGAATGGATCTGCAGAAGGCATCCTGAGCATACATCGTAGTGATCACTTAAAACAGAGGATTTGACACATGGACGCCTCAAACTCTAGATTTCAATTTGTGATATAGAAACAAAGTGATACTCTAGTAAATGTGTTATGTGTCCCCAAGATGAAAGTGAGTCGACTCCAATACTTCATGTTCATGTCATCTGAAAACTTTAAAAAAATCCTTGTCACTATTGGAACAGGAAGGGAAATACATCTATTTTCCCTCCCACTTAAACAAAATTTAATCCTACACTATCTCTGCTGTACTGAAGTTGATTTGAGTAATGCAACATGTTTCATGACTTAGTCAAGCATATTAAGTTGAAGCTATGAAAAAACTGAAAAGGCATCTCGTATATACTAGAAAACATGTTGCTTCAAAGCTATATTCCAGATCGATCATCTTATTTAAACCTCAACGTCGTTACTTATACATAAAATTTCCCACAAACTGTTCAAGAAGCCAAAGACTGCATTACTACACAACTCCAAGGCAACCAGAATGCACTACTCTTTTGCACTAGATATATAAAACTTAAGACATAGTAGCTTCTTCAAATGTTAATAGTCACAATGTTTGGAAACTCTGGAAAATAGCTGGTACTAAAAGAAGGCAACAGGTCAATGTGGGTCACGGAAACAATCGGCTGGGTCGTGTTGGCTGACCTCTTGAACAAAACACTCCCCTTTCTCCATTCTCTTCTTATTCATTGCAAAATATGATTTCAAGAAATATACATAACGTGAAAACACATGAAGTTAAACCGTATTGGTATAATGAGCATATCAAATCTAAATAAGTACCACACTAGTTTTAATAAATAGGACCTACAATTTATAGCCTCATAAAGACATTATATTAAGATAATTCCTTACATTTAATATCTTTCATCTATATTTTGCTAACAATTTTTCCCAAGTAACACTTGTAAGAATAACATTGTAAAAAAGGTCAGGTTTTGTTTGCAACTTTTCAATTTAAAATTAAAATCCAAGGTTTTAGTTTCTTTCCTTCAAAATACATCCTTATCTTCGTATATTGTTCGACTTGTATCATTTTGGTGCTAACGTTTTTAATATACAAGCATAATATTTTTTTCACATGCCATGACAATCTTAAAAAACACTCCCTACACTAATTTCTAGGCAAATGACTTTCTACATTAATTCAAATGTAGGTAGGGAGTACGATTGGAGATGTTCCAAGTGGCTTTTAGTTATTGTCATGGGAGAGTAAAAATTAATATGATGTGCATGGATAGGGATGGGATTGATTTTGGCAGGGGATGGAGGGATAAGGGCAAGAGGGGGAAAGGGTAGGTTGTGCCACCAATAAGGGGTGGGAGAAAGAGTTCAAAGACATAAATAGATAAAAATGTAGTATATGATGATAACTAAGTTCGATTGTTTGGATAAAAACCCACTTAACCCATGATGATAGTATTTCCTTTAAAGTTATAACCCATTTGACCCATTAGTTGAATTTTCTTGACCAGTTATAAACCAATCACCGAAAATGATGGGTTGAATGAATAAATTTTGTTTAGCCACCTTTAGGTACAAGGTCAAAGTTGTCTTCAACTTCAATAACACTAAAGCTATCACTACATACACACGCCATATAAACAGGCAAAGGAGAGTTGTCTACCTTAGTCCATATGGACGAATCGTTGACCTCCGAAGCATCAACTAACTGCTGAAGGGCAGTGCACTTGCTTGCAGTAGAATAGTCATCATTCCCATTACAGATCTAAAAGGGAACACACAAGAACATCAGGTTATCTAATATGATGAATACATGGAGTAACTGTTCCCTTTGTAAGAAAAAATGGGATGTTTTTAACAACTTGAACTCACCAGACTAAGGATTTGAGGAATGCTTGATGCAGTATCGGCAGAAGAATTGATCTCCGATGCTGTGAGTTTTGAAAGACCAAGTTCCAGTTCATGTGGAGCCACATTATCATAATTGCAGCCAACAGCAATCTGTTGTTCACTAGAGTTTACTAATCCATTGATATGAGGAATTGAAGAAACCCCCAAATTGGTGTTGTGCTCCAAAATTTCTGATCGGGTAGTCCAGGATCTTACTTTATCACTTACAGCATCAGCTGCATTTAATGTATCCTTAGAATTTGAAGTAAAAACATCATTGTTGGAACCAATCTCAAGACCCTGATACAGCTGGTCCTCACTTCSAWMARGTRCTSCTCSAYCAACAGMGCYWGTGAYCTGGGTGGAWTCTTGKGCAGAYACCCATTTYYTACCACYATCACTATCAAYSGARCYRCYAGARTACCTTCCAAACAAGGGAGTCTTCTTTGACGCTCCAATATATCCTTCTTCAGAAGAAGTCCCAACAACATCATATGGATCATAAGAGGACTTAGAGCGCTGTCTATCTTTCCTTTGCTGCAGATAGTTCATCAAGTCCACTTCTATACGAGGCGTAAGTTGCTTAAGAGCTCGCCTAAAAGAATTCTGTTCTTCAACTGATAAACTAAGAATGTAATTCAAAACAGATGTCGAATCAAAATGAGAGTAGACCGATATGATGCAGGTTATAGCTGCTTCCTTCAGTCTTGTATTCTTATCATGGACCAATGGTGTCAATTTAGCAAGCCAGAGCTTCAAAATGCCACTGTTACCAGAGCCTTCAGAGTTAGTGGCGTGCTTATTAAAGGAAGTAACAGCAAACTCGATTACAGCCAGTTTTGCCTTGGGGGATCGCTGTTCGTCTAGAGAACGAAGCAAAGCCGGCAACAGAGAATCTACACCATAAATTTTGCCAACAATTTCTAAAGTTGCGGAGCAAGGTTGCCTCACTAATTCCTTAGGATCAATTAACCGAGAAAATACATGGGGTAGTATCCTCTCCATATAACTCTCAAAGGGTTTTCGACAAGCCGGAATGATATCTGCAAGCGTTGTGAGAGCCGCTTGTGCAACTTTATGGTGGGGATCATCCAAATGTTGGAAAAACATCTTCATGACTTTCTCAAAACTCTGCATGACCTCCTGAATTCCTCTAGAGCCTTGCTGCAACAAAGAGCGCAGATAACTAAATGCAGCAACCCTGGCATGCCAATCTGAACTAGAACTAAGCCCATCACTCAAAGCATCATTGAGAGAAGCTGGGCCATCTGTATAACTAGACATCTCTCCAGAGATTAACTGGCTATCATCAAAGCTCCTACGTCTGTTTGCAGACATTCGCCCAGATACGTTTTTTCTTGAAAGTGGCCTCTGAAAATTGGGAACATGGCTATTGTGTGAATCCCTGTAGTGTGAATCTCTATGTGGCGTATCAAAGTACTGCCTATCCATATGCAAATTCACAGATTGCCTGCCTCCCTTAACATCGTTCTTATCTTCAAAAGAGCCTCTTTCTTGATGTTTTTCAGCTCTTCTTGCCGTGTACGATGAAAGAGATGATAAAGTCTCATTTCCAACACTACCCTGATTTGAGTGCTTGGCAGCATCCCTTGAAGCCTGAATCTGGGTAATGATGTCCGACAAGGCCAAGCCACCATCGTGATTGCTACCTTTAGAGATGCCAGAGTTAGTTGTATCTAATGATGAAAAGACAGAAAGTTTATTGGAAGCGGGAACAGCAAGAGGGAATGGTGGATCGCGAGATGAAGGTGGGTCCACTCCTGCACTAGGAGTAACAAAAAAATTTAGTCATTTAAAATCACATGGAAACTTATGGTTGTCAAAGAATGATCTTATAACACTTATACCAAAAACTGGGTTAGCAGTTGAAAAGTTACAGCCAGAATAAGAACAGGCAAGTACCTAGATCCAGACTTGACGATTTGACCCTGTCGAAATCGAAACCTTTAAGCATGCTTTCAATGGCTGAAACCTTCTCTTTGCTTGCATGCAACATGCTTTCCAGACTACGTTCTGTACCCTTACTAACAGACTTTGATTGTGATGAAAAAAGCCCAGAGGAGAGAGAGGTCCCAGAAGGTAAGCTTGCATTTCTATCCATTGCAACTATCGCTGAAGTTCCATATCCAGGTGGATTTGAAGGAGCAGAAAGGTGAGTATTAAGTGACATTTGTGGAGTCCTGTCACGAAGCAAGGGTGAAGCATGCCTCCTGTGCATACCCCCATCCTCATCATTTATTATCTATGCAAACAATAATATCTAGTTAGACCAACAACCATATGGTAATGTAAGTGATTCTTTGCCTTGTGTTCTTTACTACATTTTGTTTGAGAACCAAATAGTACAAGACAAGAAGCATAAAACATATTGTCAAAAGTTCAAATCACGAACCCTTTGAATAACAGGATCAAATTGTGAAAACAGACGACGGGAACGCTCAGGCCATGTTTTGGAGAACATCCTGTAGCAAGCTCTAGCAGTTGCTCGCACCTGTTGCTATTACAAGTTAATCACCTATATAGTAACAACAACGACGACGACAATGTCACCATACCTCGCTCATTGCATCGCCGACACAACATTTGATAAGGTCTTCATAAAGATCTGCTGAACGATGTATCTCAGGAGCATCAGCCCAATATTCCAGTATCAACAAAGCATACTCACAGCATCTGTTGATATTTAAAAGTGGTTAGCATGGTATAACTAAAACTGAGGTAGCACGGGGAATAATATAACAGAGCATACACACACTACATCGATTTTGAAGTGGTTAGCATGAGTATAATAAATTCAAACCTGGCACGAAGTAATGAACTACGGTCATGTTTTGCAGTATCAGCAACACGAGGAAGTATACGGGTAACTTTACAGTTACGCAACATCTGTAGCAGAAGTGTACAATGAAACAGATAATATTTGAGAAGGTAAAAAGTATATGAAATAAATCAAAACAACTAAAACTACCGTTTTTATGCAGTTATCCGCAGACTCCGCAATTACAAGTACAGTTATTACGACAAGCTTGAAAAGAACCTGAAAGTAAAATTAAGGGTCGGTGAAACAATGAGCATGTTAGGATCTCAACAGTGTAAAGACAAATTTGTACTTACAGGAATGAAGATCTCTGCACATGCCTCAAAATCACCCAGCAGCTCTTTGGATAGAAAGTTCAATAAATGGCAAGCCTGGCATGAATTGATAAGAAAAACTGTAATGCCTGAAGAGTAAAATGCATACACCTTTATAGCTAGACATCATCATGTCAAATAAAATTCTTTGATCAAGTAAATTCAATATCTTCCGTCCATGGGTTCCCCCACTTCGCCGAAGGACAGTGTATATTAATCCATCAAGATACTCATGCAATTCACTGCACTCTTAATGGTTGCAAAATAGAAAATGATAAACAAAAAGAAATGGACACACAGAGAGAGATGGAATACACAGGAGAGAATATCCAATCTTGAACCAATAACATAAATCAATCTGTACCCATGATAATTCATCGACATTCACAAACACTTCAAAAAGGAAAAGGAATCGCCACTGACGGTGAAAAAAATGCTTAAACACAAATTACATATGACAATATCAAGAAATGATTATGCATGTACACTCACGAGAGTGAATCCTCAGCCATCCACCCCACCCTGGGAAGATGGAAAGAAGTTCCACCGTAGGTATGACATTCACATTGTGTTTATAGGGCCTAAGAAAACTAAAACAAAGAAGCTTTAAGCCTTTAACATACTTCAAGCAAAAATTTCAGATACATGAAAGTGCACCATACCTGCTTAACTATGCTAGATCTTCTATCAGCTAATTGTGTGCTTAAAGGACCAACAAGCTGCTTTAGAAGTCCTCGAAAACATGAATAATCAGTTGCACCTGGTGCAATCAAAAGTATGACTGTATGAGAGCAAAATCGAACTGCATACTAATCCATTACCAAGTACTACAAAAGCTCATAAGACCATAATCTGGTACACAGCCACAAAAGAAATATACACACCTCCAATGACAAGGCCTTCAACCCTTTGCATGGCTCCAATGCGGATGGACCAATCTTTCTCAGGAACTAGAGTTGAAGCAATCTTCTCAAACTCCCGGATCAGCTCCTTCTCTGAGTACACTTTGATGGAGTCTACTGGTTTTTCATTGACATCACTTTCACCTGTAATACAGATATATCAATACAAGGAAAGAGAGTAAATGGCAGTAACAAAACTTGTATGGAAAGAAGTATAAATTAAAAAAAAAAGGAAGAGAGAATAATATAATCTTAAGTTGATGATAAATACATTCAGATACTACTTACACACTTCTCTTCCATCAATCAGTTCAGGACCACTAAAGGTGGAATCTGTGTGCTGAACAAAGTGGACACAAGTAAAGCTAAATATTATATTATTAGGCTGCCTTAAAGTTCTATAATCAAGGATTATTAGGCTGCCTTAAAGTTCTATAATCAAGGACATAACAAATGAAAACCTAGGCATGTTAGTACGTATATTTATGTTTATATATGGGGTGTAGGAAGTATGACGCCTGCATCGGAATACTCACATCAAAAGCGATAGGTGAATCAATCCCTTTTTCCTACTATTTACAATGGAGGGACTCCCATATATTACTAAAACTGAATTAGCATTAACCACTATATTATCTAAAAAGCTAATTTGATGAGTTCGCTCATCTAGAGACTTGGAATTGAGTTAAACTTTCAAGAATGATACTTTATTTGAGGACTGATTCAGCTCCTTGTTATTCGGCATATCCTGCATTTGAATGATAATTTCAGCAACTAGTCACTTATTTCTATTCCTTGTATTCTCCTTTAGTTTTATATCAGTAGCCATTGTTGACCAACAACTATAACTGGGTCCTCAACACAGAGCCATGGTCAGGCCCCAGCATCTTAAGACCAAGAGTGGTTGTGTTTAGGCCTTAGCACAGTAGTGAGTGACTTATTTTGGATACAGTACAATATAGATGTTAATGTTACAACAAACCTAGACTCTATGAACAAATGTATATCAACAGGAGTGGTGGTTGGAATAAGTAAAGGGCAAATAAAAGATAGGCAACCAAAATAGCCTAATTCAAGCACGTCTTACAGTTTACAAATCTAGCTATACTCAAAACTTTTACATCTGACATTGATCACTCATCATTACAAATTATACAAGTCTGCTACCCCACTGGGAAGAAACTAATGTGGCCACAATATTGCAAGAGATCTGGCAGCATTAACAGACTTAAACATGCATTATCAAAATAAATATGGGGTAGAGAGTAATAAAATTTCTACGGTAAAGGGACGGCCAATTGGTAAAGAACTTACAGGAAAGAAAATTATTTCCCAACAATGTTTTTAATTTCACTTATGTTGACTTGTTGAATAAACACCACTAAAAGACCAAATACAAGCAACATAGACATTATCACATTGTTCAAGAGCAAATTATACGATCAAATGAAACTATGAACTTCTTTGTTGAACAAATAACCAAAATAAATTGGAGCACCATCATAGAAATTAACAGTTTAACAGCTTCCTCCTATTGAAGAAATGGATCACATTACATAACCTGATAACCATATCTAAAAGAAATATCCATTGTATTCTAAGATCATACTAACAATTAACAAATAATAGACTATAAAGTATGTAAAATATGCTTCACAAGCACCATTGATATAAATGTGAACATGGGCTAAAAGTAAATAAAGTATCTAATATGTTCAAGGCCGTAAACTTAACCTCCAAAAAGAGAGACTTCACGAGAGGAACTCTTGGCCTTTGTGCTGCTTCTTTTGGGATTTCGATTAGAGTGTTTGGTATCAGCAGGAGCATGAGTACCAACATGTACATCTGAAGAATGATGTTTTGGTTCAATTCTCTCTAATCTGGCGTTTATATCTTTTACCTGGGATTAATTCAAGTCAGAAAAATAAAGTTTAGCACCGACAGCAAGGGCACACTTGTGATTTAATAATCTAATCCCAATAGACAAATCAAGGACATGGCACCTCACAGTCCACACTCCACAGATGTACATTGATTTATAAACACATACCCCATGGCATAAATGTCACCCTTTTTAATAGAAAAGGGTGCAGCATAACTTAGTAACGTAATCAAAAGAAGTGGTAAATGACTAAGATATAGCAATGCGGTATCCCTCTATCCAAAAGTGTGCTACTTTTATCCAACCATATTTTTTGATCCCATTTCTTTGAATTAGACACATAAGTGGCTTGTCGTAGATGTAGGTGTTCATATTTTTTAAACCAAAAGATAAAACACTAACGACAGTAGAATATGCCTAGCTATAGTGTCTCCCTTTGGTAAGGGAACACATGGAAGAAGTATGAATGACTGGAAATGGCACACTAGCAGTAATATAATCACCAGTGATGATGGAAGCTGATGACGCTGAAGTTCTTCACGAAATTGAAACCCAATTTGAGCATACATCTCCTGCAGCAGAGGAACAACGTTGGATTAATGAAAACAAGTTATATAAGTGATAACGTCTAATCTATCACAAGCAAAATCCTTAACTAAGAACCCTGGTTCTATCCTTGCATCAAAAATACACACAAGAATCAACCTCCATGCAGCATACACTTCAGTCCATTGCTACTCCTAGCAAGGCAATTAAGCAAAATATACATCCTACCTAACAAACTACTGCATTAGTATCTATCCTAACAACTCATTTGTAGAGGGAAACGCGCCAACTAAGAAATTCCACCTCTCCATCTGCAGTGTCATGTGCATACCACATGCAGACAATTAGCTTTTGGGAAAATTCAGTACGTCATATGAACTCATTTAATGGTATAGTCAATAACTTCCTCTTTGAACCATGCTTACAAATGCCCCTCAGCTAGTTCCCATAGTGTAGCCAGAAAGTACCGGATGAATGGCAACATCATTCACATTTTGTCCAGTCCAGCAAAAGCATTGACCAAAAACTGGCATGTCATACCACAAGCCCCTCTAATAAGGACTTCAGCAATTGTGTGTAAACAAAGATGTGCAATTGTGTGTAAACAAAGATGTTCCCACGAACTTAAAGGTTAAAGAATGCTACAACTAAATAAACTGTATTTCAGGCTTCCAACTAATGCATAGTAAAACGACTATCGGGAAACAGCAGCCCACAAACACACAATCCTGAAACCAGGAAACACCAAAAATAAAAGATAAACACACAAGGAATCATGCCCAGCATAGAATGGTTGACCATCTAATAACTAAAGGTAGAAGTTGGTGTTAGAAAAAAGAAGGGAAGAAAATAAAAATGTAGGTAAGTAGCAATATTATATATATATATATATATATACACACACACTATATTATAAAGCATTTGACAAAAACTCTTAAAAACCACTGTTTATGCATAAAGTACTATTTATTAATGCATATTACTTAAAACTCAAGATTGCAAGTAGATTGTGCGTAAGTACAACTTATTAAAGCTCCATATCTGAATTCGTGTAACTAACTGTAGATAAACATAATCAAATACAAGATAAACATAATCAAATACAAGATAAACATCTAAATTTAAATATAAAAAATCTAAAATATAATTAGGATAATCATTGAATTCTAACAGAATACTTAATTATTATCTTTATAACATTTATAATATTAAACCAAAAATAAATTAAAGAAATTACAAAAAAATAAAAACTTTTAAATAGTTGATTTGATATTAACATTGATATTTTTTTTTTCAGATTTATATTTTATTCAAAAATAAAATCATTATTGCTTTCTTAAAAACACATAAAATCGTATTATAACATCGATATAGACAAATAATAAAATAGAACATTAAAGTCGATATGTGTCTCGCTGCATTGCACGAGTACTCTTCTAGTATATATTATAAAGCATTTGACAAAAACTCTTAAAAACCATTTTTTATGCATAAAGTACTGTTTATTGATGCATATTACTTAAAATTCAATATTACAAGTAAATTGTGCATAAGTACGGTGTTTGGGATTGCTTATTTAAAACAACTTATGTTTTTTTGTAAAAGTGCTTATTAACTTATGTGGTATTAAACCGGAGTTAAATAAAACAGGGTTAAAATTGTAAACTGGTAATAAGCAATTTTTCATAAGGCAGAAAAGATTAACTTATCAAAAACAACTTATTACCGGTTTGACACCGGTATAAGCAGATTTTTTTTTTCTTATCCAAACACCAGAAAACAGCTTATCACCGGTGCCAGACTGAAATAAGTTAAAAAGCAGCTTTTATAAGCAATCCCAAACACCCTATAAAGCTCTATGTTTGAATTCGTGTAACTAACTGCAGATAAACATAATCAAATAGAGGATAAACATCTCATTTTAAAATCTAAAAAATCTAAAATATAATTAGGATAATTATTGAGTTCTAACAGAATACTTAATTATTATCTTTATTATTAAACCTAAATTAAGTTACTCGTTACGTTAAATTAAATTATAATAAAAATTTTGAATTAAAAAAAATATACAAACAARAACTTTTAAATAGTTAATTTGATAYTAATATTGATATATTTTTTRCAAATTTTATATGATATTTTCAAATTTATATTTTATTCAAAACTAGAAACATTATCGCTTTTTCAAAACCATATAAAATCGTATTATATCAACATGGATAAAAAAATAAAATGACACATTGAAATGGAAATGTGCCTCGATGCATTGCACGAGTACCCTTCTAGTATATATATATATATATATATATATATATATATATATATATTTGGTCAGTGCCAAAGGGGATGCAGCCTAGCAGCCAAAACATTATATCCAAACTCAGTTTTGGTATGTCGAGCACTAGGCTTGAATTCCAAGAACAAGAGGGACTGGAATTGTGAGACAAAATAAAGTTAGTTTCTGGTTTTCACAATAGAATCTCCTTTTCCTCTTTCAGAAAGCAAAAAATAACATAAAATTGGAAAAAGTTAACATAGTCCAGGAAAAGGAACTGATTCCAGTAGCACTGTAGCAGGTGCACTCGTAGTTGAAGAGCAACTCTTTTGCTCTCTACTAATTCAAACCAAATACTGTTCTATTGAACTGGCAAATTGCGGCTGTATAAAGTTCAAATACATGTGCAACAACTGCACCAAGTTTAGATAGAAGAATAGCTCTAAGAAGAACAACCATTTTAGAGCTGCATTTAATCTCTATAATATTATCAAGAAGTTTCAGAGCACTGACTATGCAGAACGAAGAATAACAAACTAACAATGATGCATAGAATGTGGACTTCACAAGTTCAAACCCCATGGGAATAAGCCTCGAATAGACATATTGCACAAACAGTTAAGCATGACCCTTACTAACCTCAATACATAAAATAGCAGCTTCTCTCACGCCTGGATTAGGGTCATATAACATCTGTAATATCTGATCATTTGAAGAAACAAGATAGATAGACAGGTGCACAGAGTAAGTATTTCCAGAAGAACCATCCACTGACGATATAACCTAATGTAAGCTTTATAAAACACTTGTGGTGACCTACAGGAGGAAGAATGGCACGTTGAAGAGGTAGCTCTGTAGATGCAAAAAGACTGATTGCTGATGTGACAGTTCTAGCAAACTCTTCTCGAACTCTCCAACTTCTGTGAGTCCAAGCATTGGATCCAGCTCTCTCAACAATGAGAGTTGGGGAAGAAACCTGCACCACCAACAGAGGCACTCTAGTAAGGTTTGCTGATGCAATTGTGTCCTTTTTCCATAAATTATCATCTCAATATAAAATGTACTTAACAAATAATCCAACTATAGTACAATGACTCAAGAAAGAAAGTAGGCACTGAAAATAATGCTAGCGCACATGATCTACATAAAGGAAAGCCATTAGAATGTACATCAGAACTTGACGAAATCAAGCTATATTCACCCAGAATATGCTACCCCTAAAAACAGATAACCACATGTCATCGCCTCATCGGATGCATGCAAGGTCTCAAACCCCAGTCCACTACTGATTGTAATATTTCAGCCGACTTGGAATATATATTTTCTAACTTGAAGACAGTAGAATGGCTTATGGGGAAAATGGTTGCTAGCCAGGATTATGCATTCCTTTGAAGAAGTGTAATAATTACTGCTCTGTCCTTTTTGAATGAATGCACACGACATGACCAATTGAATTCAGAATTTCAGATCATGGCGGGGAAACCAAGGAGCTCAAGTTGAGTCTAAAGTTCTTAACACAATTTTCAGCCTAATATTTGCACTCAGTAGAAGGCACATACCATTAATTTTGGCAAATGAACTGAACCTACTTCAGAAGCTGGCTAGGTAAGATTCCCATGGGAAAATTGTTAACCCATGGATATGAAATTCAAAATGAAAATCCCATATTGATTAAATAGTGCTTGGTGCCAATTTCAAAAGAACACCACTCACAGTGTAAGCCAAGTAGCACCTTCGGCTTAACTACAATATATTAAATTCACTCCTAAAAATCAATGCTCCTGTCCAGGAATTCACACCCTAGTTAGTCACAGCCATGGGAACTCCCAATTTTTGGCAAAAACGATCACAACTAGCACCCAAATCCCAGTTCAATCAACAAACCAAGTATAGGTTAGTTCTTTAAAACATTAACAGGTGAAATGACGCAACAATAAGCAACAGGAATTCCACCCGCCTTCAAGGAAAAAAAAATCCCAGTTCCAACTGTAATACTTCAACGTTATATGTATGTGAATTGCATATTCTTTTCAAATATTGAAAGACTTGTCAAAAAAATTCCATGAACATTTAGTCAAGTGATGAAATATATCGGGCCCCTGGGCCCTGGAAGAAACCAACGAAAAGCCATGGTAGAGAGTCGGAGCCGGCCCAAAAGAATATCAGCACTCGCATGTTTCGGTTGGAAACCGTCAATGTTCACTCAAAATTGATCTCAATTTTACACACACCGACACAGTACCTGCATGAGAGTGAGCAATAGGCGTCGAGCAGCATCGCGAACAGGCTGTTTAGCATCACCAAGACGCTCAACAGTAGCAGGAACTAAGGCATTGAAATGAAGCTTAAAGTGATCACCGGATACAATAGCAGCAGAATCGAGAGCCTGTAAACCGCCTTGAGAAACCCTAAAATTATTGTCTTTCAGGAGATCCAAACAACAATCAACAAGAGATGTGACATCCGACGACGACAAACTCTTCCTCGAAGATTCTAGAAGTTCCAGTAGCCTTTCTACTCCTGCCATCCTCTCTTTGGTATCCTTGGCACGTGCCATTTCTAACGCCTCCTCCATTCTTCGAAGCTTGAATTAGCGCCAGTGATCTGATCAGATCTACGACGAATTTTAGGCCGGGAAATGGCAATGGCGGTGGCGGTGCAGGCGGAGGCGGTGGTTGAGGAGTGACAGATACGCGGAGATGCTATCAGAGTAGTTACCACCGGGCTGGCTGATATGGTGGTACAGCTTGCAGCAACTTCCAAACGACACCTTCCCAAATTTTAATCAAATGGGGCCGCACTTAATTTTCAGGTAATCTAATTTTTGGATTGGGTTAAATAAATAAAATAGCAATTTATTTTTATAAAAAATTTTATTATTGCATTTTATTTTTGTTTTTTTATTATAGTAATGTATTTTTAAATTATTTTTTATTAAGACATTTTACTTTAAAAAATATACTCATAATAGCAATGGGTAACCTGTTACCTTTTAAACTGGTTAATCCTTTGATTTTTTTGTTTGTGTGGCTTTAATAAGGTGATGTGGATGACATATCATTTTGATGACTTAACTAAAATTAAAATAAAAACTTATTTTAAATTATTATTAGTTATTTTCATTTTTCATTGCTATGATCTAAAAAAACATTTATTTATTTTTTTACTTTTTCTTATTAAGTTGCATTCAAATTAAATATTATTAGAGTAAAATATTTATTAAATAAATATGAAACATTATTTTCGAGATATATTTTGTTTATAAAAAATTAACTTTTCTTATTTTATGTTGCTCAAATAAATATATATCTTTTAAAATTTTCTTTAAAATATTAACGAAATAAATTGTTATCTACAATTTCTTAATATTGTTATATTAATAAATAATTCAAAAAAATCTAATTAATTTATATATCAAGTAAAAAAAATTAAACAAATATAATATATTATTTAAAAGATAATATTTTTTGGTAAAAAAAGAACAAATATTATTTTCTTTTTTTTTCAAAAAACACATATTATTTTAAAAATATTAGCGAGATAAGTTGTATTCTACTAGTTTTATTGATATTGATATATCAATGAATAATTTAGAATTTTTTTAATTCATTTAATACATTTATTAAATAACATGTAAAATATCTAAAAATTAAAATAAAAAATACAGTGTTTAATAAGAACTAGTAGATGCTATGATAAAATAATTTTGAAAGTACAATGATATAGTAAGAAAGTCACATCACTACAGTACATGTGAACAACCTACATGGACAATGATGTGGCATGGAAACCTACTATAATGGGTAAATTTAAATCAAAAGGTTACCCAAGACTATAATGGATAAATTTTTCAAAGTACAATGTTCTAATAAAAAATAGTTTGAAAGTATATTGTTGTAATAAGAAAAACTGAAAGTACAATGCTATAATTAAGAAATTTATGAAAGTAGATTGTTATTTTCTGCATTTTTCCCTTTGGATTTTTATAGAGGGAGTGGTCGGTTATATTTCACACATTTAGACTAATGAAATTAGGCCACAAAGCAAGTATAAAATACGGCCCAACGTCGTTTTTTCAAATAATAAAATGGTACAAGTACCGGATTATCGTCCACAGGGATTGTAGCCAAAGTTAAATTAGAGTCCAATGAAATAGATGATTTCATATGATGATTTTGAAGACTTTTGTTTGATTGTAAGGTGAATCCAAACAGAATACAGAATATATAAAAGAAGCAAGGGTGTAAGACTTAAGGTGAGACCCAAACACAAATTTTAACAGCCAATGCTATAGGAATGCTACAGCAAGTAGTGTTTCGAAACTAAGTTCCACCATCTATTTTGAAGGCATTCCTCTCGGACTTCACCATTGCACTATCTTATAGCTTTCCACCTATATCTCTATGCGGTGTCCGGACCGGGGATAGTGACACAATGGTGTTTTCAAAATATATGGATAAACAAATCTCTTTGTTAAAAATCACTCTCTCGAGTCATATCATTCGAGTTGGCATGTTTTTGATAGTTCATCTCTGAATCTATCACACTTTGACACTTTTGAAGAGTGACCAACCCGTCGGGAGCTAAGTTTTGAAAAACATAAATGACAAGTCTCTTTGTCGGCAACTTTCTCAAGTCTATCTCTTATGTCATCCAAGTTGACGTGCTTATCAATAACTTATCTCTAAGTCCATCGCACTTTAACACTTTCAAGTGATCAACCCGTCAAGAAGTGTGATTGGTTTTATAAAAACTCGAATGAAACAATGGAACGTTGTTTACGAAAACACTTAGCTACATTTGTTTGATTTGAAAATCTCACATTTCCGTCTCACACCCAAGCTATAAAAGTTTAGCTACTCATAACGGAAAGTAAAAAATAAATGACGGAAAATAAAGACATAAACGTAAATTGCGTAAAGTAAATAACAATAAAATAAATGACGAAAATGTAAATGACGATAAAATAAATGACGAGAATGTAAATTGCGATAATGTAAATTGCGTAAATTAAATAACGAAATGTAAATGACAATAATCGTAAAGGAACGTAAAATAAAGAACAAAAAATAAAAGACGAGAATATTAAAGAAGAAAAAGATGATGAACTCAAAAGATTAATAAAAATCACCCTTGGAGAGGGTTTACAACACTAACTAATGTTTTTGATGGAGGAAATAGGATACAATGGATGGAAGATGGAGTAAGGGATGATAGAAGAAGGCACCTCAAGCCTTCTTTTTATACACAAAAGGGGTCACTAGAAGACAAAAACAAAAGACTTGGAGGCTAAGTTTCCAAAAGTTAGTTACATGGCAACAAAAGGGTAACTAAAAAGTACAATGACCTAACCTAAGTCTAAACATCATATTTTTAACCAAAAACTCAGCTTTTACAGCTGTCTTCCACTAGCCAAAAAGTCAGCGTCTTAACCATTAAGTCCTCCAAAAAACCGCGCATGAATCATATCAACGCTGCACCAATGCTGTAGCATCTGCTGTTTTCACAAAAATTCCATATTAGCTTCATCCAAGAGTACCAACAAGTCAACCACAATATTTAGCTTCATAATAACAAATGTATAAAGAAATAAATAAAAACGACTCCAATTGGGAATGAAAATAAAATATTATAACTAAAAAGACGTAAAATGAGTGTTTTATGTGTTAAATTCTCAACATATATCAAGGAGTACAAATGCAAGCCAGTCATTTATATAAAGCGTGTAGAACTTATTTAATTAATCATAATCATTAAAAAAATATTATGAGGTAAAGACGGAACACAAATGAACTAGATCAGCAATAGTGAAGGGATCCAAAAAAATTTATATTTAAAATTTTAATAGACTGTAGATGTTTCACTCTATCTAAAGAAAAGCTCAGGTGCCAAGGCCCTTATGGTTATCCGCCCCTGTTATGAGGGTTGATTAGTTATTTTTATTATATAGCTTTAATTTATTATAAACCAAACACCAGGTACCAAAAAGAGTGTAATGGTCCGAGGTTGTTTACCAAGGCTTACCAGTAAGAATCAACATTTTTACTTATCTTATGGGGTGACAATTATTGTCATCAAAATGGATTGATCGTAAACATTCATAATCTGATAAGTATTTAACAGGTGAGAATCACCACTCTCACTTACCAGGTAAGATTACTGATCTTTGTCTTCCCCTTTTGTCTTCTTTCTTATTGGGTAAGATTTTCGGTCCTCATTATATTCATCAATTAAGATAATTGAACTGATAGTTGTTTAGTAAACCATTCATAAAAAATAAACATAAATTGAGAAGTTAAAAGCGTAAAAAACTCAAAGAATCTTTAAGATTTTTTTAATAATAATTAAAAAAAAGGCTTTAAAATAAAGCATATGCATAAATTAATTAAAGTATGTTCTTCTTGATTGAGAATATATATATATATATATATATATAATTTGTCTAATCCATCTTTTTATAGAAAATTAAATCTTCAGTGGATTTTTTAGATGGAATTTAGTTGTTTTCATAAAAAATCATAATTTTATATTTTGTCCATTTCTCTGATATTTTAGTCATGAATAATATATTTTAATTAGAGGTTAAATTTAATAACTTATTAAAAATCATTTTTAATAAAAAAAAAGTATTTAGGTAGTGTTTGATATGCACCCATAATTGTCTTGGATAAGACGGAACTGGATTGGTCTAAAGTAGAGTAGAGGGGGAGACTATACAATACTGGATTGAACAAGACTGGAGGTTGTTGCAGTTGAGGGTCTTCTTAGTCTTTGTGGTAGCGCGGAGGTGGTGGTGACCGGTGGACGACGATAATTGTAGAGGATGTGAAAATGGTGGTGGTGATCGAGAATGATATAGGAGGTAGTTTGTGACCGACATGTTGAAGGCAGAGGTGGTCGGTGGGTAGTAGTAGTGATAGTTAAAAGTACGTTACCCAAAATATGAATCAAGTTAAAGTACGTTACTTTTTCATGCAATTTGTCTATTTTGATATTTATGATTTAAAAATAAATCAGATAAATAAATCTTGACAGTCAAATGTCACACCAAAAGTTGGATAAGTCTTTGTTATGTCATGTTTAATCATGTCTCATATACCAAACACAATGCGTTTGGTATGCAGACCGGACCAAACAAGAGTGGATGGGAGAGAGTGTTATTACATTGTAGCTAGTGATGGCCAAGTTAGCCCCGCCTGGGACCGGCAAATGATCGGTTGGGGTTCTTGGCAGTTTTGTGGGATTGGGACCGGTTATGGCCCGCCCTGACCTGAAAATTCAAATAATTTTATAAATAAATGTGTGTTTTTTCTAAAACAATGTAATTTTAATTATATTAAAACGTATTTTTAAAGTGTATTTTAGTAACCAATTATATATTTTATAATGTATTAAAAACTAGTTGTGTACCCGCGCAATGCGGCGGGAGCCATGAATTTTAAAGATTTTGAAGTTCCACTGGTTTTATAAGATAAGATTTAACGATGATATATGTTACACTTGGTCTTTACATATTAATACAATTTGAATAAATAAGAGTTATGGTTCAAATTACAGACTATCGATGAAAAAAATTGTATGATAATTTAAAATCCAATATATTTAAACGACTCCACAAATGTGTTCGATTTACACCAAGAGCAAAAAACCAAAAAACTTGAATTCTAAGATAAACACTCAAAACCAATAAAGAAAACTACAAATTTAACAAATCATAAGCCATGAAAAGTCCAAAAAAGATGAGTTTTAGAATGAAATTTCAACTGTTTACCCTCTTTCTTGTCCAAAAACTCAAATTAAGGTTGAATTAATACATGTATATATATATATTTAAAAAAACCCAAAAACATATTAATTCATAACATATTATATAGTGCAATTTGGACAGCCTAACCCCAAAATATATTGTATATATGTAAATAAATAACTATACAATTATAAATCGTAAATATTAAAAAAAAAATTCACAGTATATATAACATATAATAATATAATTAAGTAAAAAACTATTCAATATTTGACTCATTTCGAAGGCATTAAATAGACGATTATAATGGTGTAACTTGTTAAAATAAAAATGTATTTTTTAAACATGTTTTAATTGATATACGATTATGTATATTAATTTGATAAAAATTTAAAATGAAACATTTAAAAGTAAATGACGTAAAGTAAATTAATTAACTAATTATAAGAGTATAAAGTGTAAATTTAAAATTGTAATAAAAAAAGATGGGTTGTGAGATAGTGAGTGTATGTGAGGGGGGGTGAGTGCATGTGAGGAGAGGAAGGGGTGAAAAAGTGTATAAAGAGTACCTTGGTCATTTAGTATTTTAAGACTTTAAGACTTTTACTAAATTTGCTTTATAAGATAGTATATATATATATATATGTCAATTATTTTTTTTTATTAATTTTGGGACCAGTTGGTACGAGGCTGGCGGCCCATAACCGGTTATGGAGAACCTTGACCGGTCTTACCATTTTCGGCCGTAACCGGTCCTGGTTATTGTCAGTTATGAGAAAGCTTGGGACTAATTAGGACTGCTCCGGGACCGGTTTTTGACCATCACTAATTGCAGTAATACAACTCATACACACACGTCTTCTATATGCCTAAAACAACAAGGGACTAGAAAATGGTCACACAACTCGCCTTTCTATCTATACAAACAAAATGCACAAACATGATACATGACACCCTTTCTTTTGCAAGATCCGACTTTCTTTGATCCAATACGTTGGTTTCGCATTGAGCTTAAGTTGTACAAATTTGAGTAAGCTTCATTTCTGCTAAGCACACACGGGTTTTCACCCGACTTTTCGTTTTTGCTGCTTAAACTTTCTTGTCAATTGGTACATTCAGCTTTGATTGATTTCCGTTCAATCCCTACTCCAATGGGAATGAAAAGTATGTTAGGGGTGGCAACAACAAATTGTAGAGAGTTAAGACAAAAAAAAATGTTATTGTTATCCACGATAACAGATCTAGAAAAATTTCCGAGCGGGGACATAAAATAATTAATATACTCTAAAATAAAATAAAATATAATTGTTTAAAAGTACAAATTAAAACTGATATATAGGTGGGGTTTTTTACAATACGGAAATGGTTGTATCTTTGTTGAAAAGGGCTTTACGTAAAGTGAGTCAGAAGGAGGTGCATAGTGCATACACACAAATGTTGTTTATATCACCTTAGATAGCCATAAATCATGAGTCAAAGAGGGTGCGCCCCCTTCCGGGGTCCTAGGGGAAGCGCCCCTAACGGGTCCTAAGGGAATTACTTTATGTAAATTTACGTATTTAGCCCTTATAGAAATTAAATCAAAAAGTGAAAATAACTCAATAATTGAGCTCATATTTATAATTTTGAGCCCATAATTTATGATAGTAGGCCATGTGAGCCCATTGGGCCTTGATTGCTGCCAAGTGCCAAGTGCCAAATGCCGAAGTACAACTGTTTTCCATTCAACGTATATGTTATGGAATATTCATATCTCATGGATTTTTAGACGAAAAGCAACGGAAAAGGAACAAAACCGAATTAAATCTGAAACTAGGGTTTCGTTGGATTCAATATTTTGTGCAAAATCAACGAATTGTTTGAAGATTGAACGAAGAAATGAGGACTCCATGTTGCCATACATTTGTGGCATTCATTCTCAAATTCCTCATTTTCTTCCAGACATTTATTGGAATTTCGATCATTGTTTACTCTGCGTATATGTTGAATCAGTGGGAGAAACACTTGCCGATCCCTCCAGCTCCGCCTTCACCTTCACCATCACCACCTTCACCATCACCACCTTCACCATCACCATCACCATTACCACCACCACCTCCTTCAGATTTAGCTCCAGCTCCATCGCCGGATTCATCTGAATTTGTTTTCTCTGTTTTCAACACCGGTATAGTTTCTGGTCAAGTGATTCGTTTGAATTTTGGAGCGGACACGATCACCGGTATTCATGGCGGGATAAAGCTAGACTCCAATCCCATTCCTGCCCCCTGGTAAATCTTCTTCTTCAATTTTCATTGGAAGGTTGTCCTTTTGGGGTTTATTCTAAATGTTTATTTAAAACACCACGAAATAAAAAATTTGAGGTCAATGCGTCAACAATTGCAGTTCTCAAAAAAATGTGGGATGTATTACATTGTCTAGCTTCAACGATCTGCATTTTTTAAGGTGTCTGAGTTTGGTTTCTGAAAAATTTAACAAGTACTGATTGAGCATTCTGGTTTCGACCAGGGTCTAGGGGATGTGTTAGAAATTGAGGGCCCTTATCATAAAAAGACAGGATAAATCAATTGGATCACGTATTGTTTACATTCCAAATACACTAATTCGACTTTATATGCCTTGGATATCACGATTGGGGATTGGGATGATCCAATGATTATGCTGATCTTAGACGGCTGTAAAATCGAGTTCCTTTTTTATACACCCTGATTCCATGTTTTACATATTTATATGAGATGTCGATGGTTACGGGCAGTTAGGCAGTTAATACAACAGTTACACAACTTATGGATAGGTCGAAACAGATCATCTCTGACTCTGAGTCAGAAGGCTCAGAAGCTAGAAACCTTCACACTTAGAAGCTTCTAATTTTGTAGACTCGGAGGCTTCTGATTCAACTCAGAAGCTTCTGATTCCAGAATTAAGTCTCCAAAATACTAAGTTTCTGACCAAACTCAAGAAGGATTCCAACCTTCTGAACTTCACTCAAAATGTTCAGAAACTCAAATTTCCCTAGTAATTCCCTTGGACCCCGCTATGGGTGCTTCCCCTAGGACCCTACAAGGGAACGCAACCCCCTTGACCCCTGCCTTATGGCGATCTAATGTGATAGAAGCAACATTTGTGAGTGTGCACTCCGCACTCCCTAGTCGATCTCTTGTAGATGACACTTACACCAAAATTGTTTGATGACATTGAAATCACCAACAGGACGGGCTATGATAGAAACGTTGTTCATATATTGAGTTCTTTGATAATGTGGCATGATATTCTGTGGCAGGTTCATATACGCATTTATGGGATTGGGTATTGTACTGTGTTGTATCTCTTGCATAGGTCATATTGCAGCTGAAGCGATCAATGGGTGTTGCCTTTGTTTCGTATCCTTTATTTCTTTCTTCTATCTGGATGACATGTTTAAACATTTGCAATAATCTCTATAGTGTCCATAAATAGTGAAGGAGGGTGTGTATGGCCACCAACTAGGGATATTAATGTAGAAATGAGACAACGGATTTCAAGCGACTTAAGTCTTGCTCGGGAATAGACTTCAATATGAATTTTTCTAGGACTTAGTCTTCCTACTGGTTATGTAAGTGTCACATGTTTTCAAAGTTACCCTCAACCTGTACCAACATGGGTTGGTAGAAATGGCAAGCTATATATCTTACATTTTTCAGAAAAATCTATTTAACACAAATAAAAAGCCTATAGTTAAATTCAAGATTTTGTTTTCCAGCTTCATTTAATTTTCTATAAACATTTGCTACAACTTAATCAAATAATACACCTAATGTAGGAGCCTTCAGTGTGTAGCTCATTCGACAAAGGGGGGAGACTTTGCCCGAATAGAAGACAGGTCCCGGATTCGATGCTGGCCCCCACTAGCCTCAACCGCCGAGTAAGACAAAAAATGCCCCCTCACATTGGTGTCCTTGGATGCAGGTTCCATGTGGGGCCTTTTGGGGTTGTCAATAATCAATTTTTTGCCCAAATACACCTAATGTAGGAAGAACCCAATAAAGATTAATAGAATTTTCTTGCCATGTCTTTTATGAAAACAGTTGGTTTAAATTCCTCTAGTTACTTTCTTAACGTGAAAAATTCGCAGTATACCATACTGAAAAGCGTATTGATCCTGCTTGAGGTGGCTTTAGTTGTATTCATTGCACTTGATCATCGTTGGGAAAAGGTGTGATACTGTAATCAATATTGAGATTTATATTTATGTTGGTCTTAAAGAGTTTTCACCCAAGTAACCACTTTCGACAATTTTTAGGATTTACCACAGGACCCAACAGGAGAAATTGCTAGCATGCGGGAATTCATTGAAGATAATATTGATCTTTGTAAATGGGTTGGCATTGCTATAATTGTAATTCAGGTAAGATTTCCTTTCAGATTTGATGTTAAAGGGATAATCTTATACACTTCTTGTTAAAGTAAACTCAGGTAATGCTCACGAATTCTTGATAATATTGAACGATGCCAGAATGGCTTTAAATACAAAGAAATTGAAACAGAAACAAGCTAATTTTACTGCTAGAAATAAGGAAACTACTAAATAAATGGAAATAGCATACGACTCGGTTTATCACGTGCACAGAGCCTCACTTGACTTGACCAAATCAGCTTTATTTGAATTCTTTTATTCCATGAGCTAAATCTCGAATATGCCAACACTTCTAAACATATTCATATCAGTTGCTAGTTTGTTACCTTGTGAAGTCTAAGATGCTTGGTTCTTACCCAGTGCTATTATTCACCTTTGATTATTCTCTCTTTCTTAAAATGGTTGATTAATAAGAAACTAGAAGAGCCTAGGCTAGGATGTAATGGGTATGACAATGATAGTAACTAAGATATTGGGGTTATCTGCTTGAAAAAAGAAGTAGAGAGGAATAAACATAGCGATAATTTGATTCTTAGCTCTTACTCTTATACTAGGTGTTGGAGTGAGGTGTAGATGGAATACATATTTATCTAAGATGGCTTTGTAGGGTCTTAGGCGCCTGAGGCTCAAGGTCTTAGGCTTTTTAAAGTCGAGGCGGGGCGTATTCACGAGGCTCACCAAGGCGATACGCCTTGGCTTAGTAGCGTTTTGGGCCTAGGCGCTCTCATTAAAGAGTTATTAAATACCCAGTCAAACCCTAATATTAAATAAGTTTTCTCATCTTATCATCATCTAAGCTTCTTAAAAAAGTTAATAAATATAAGACATAATGGAGGTCATGAGACAAAGGAAAACAGAGTAGCAAAAGAGTATGTGCAGCATGCAACAAAGACAATAATGGTAAAGACATTAGAGACCCATGTGAGGAAAATAGGTTAAAACAAGAGGGAACACTGAATTGCTTTAAACGAAGTACACAAAACTACTATGACGGGATTCCTTCCCTAAAACCATCTTAGAGCGATGTCAGCCTTCCTGTGCGCTCTCTCTCCCTCCCCACATCTATAGTAGCTTGGGATGCTAACAATTCAAGCATTTAACGAGTTACTCAAGTTTGAGCTTTAATGCTCGAGCCAATCTCGAACATAAAATAAAGCTCGTTTAACTTAACAAGTCGAACTCCATAACACCAATGTTCTATTCAACTCGTTTGAAATCTCGATAAAATTTTTCTAGTCGAGCCAAGACAACCCATACGAGCATACATTTTTTGAGCCGCACATGTTTATATGTTCATAAATCATACAATCAAAATATCGAGCTCAAGTCAATAAATGAATTAATCGATCTCTAATTCAAGCCCATAAACGAGTTTATAAAGCTTGAATTTTAGGTTATAATGTATAACTCATCGTTGTTAAACAAGTGTTGAGCTCAAGCTTCAAACACTGAAAAAATATATCTTGCTCTTTGTAGACCACAAATATTTCCCGGATTCTTTTTGTTTTGGACAAATCCTCTACTATTATACGACCATATGTGATATCTTCACTACCAAGGAAAAAGTAAATTATTGATTTTAAATATTACAAAATAGGGCAAATGCTCATAGATATATATTTGGTTTTTCTAAGGCAAAATGAGATGCTCATTTTCCTTGTTCATGTTTACAAGCTTCCCTTAAACTACCGACCCTTAACTTAGGGATAGGAAAAGCAAAACAGATTTAGGGGGTGCTTGTTTCGGTTTAAACTCGAATAGAAATGGGTATGATAAAGAAAGGTAATGTTGGGGAATGAAAAATCATTCTCACTTTGTAAGTAATCACTCTCATTGCATTATATTGAACCAAACATCATTATCCATTCTCATTTCCATTCCTCGCCCCCTAATGCCCCCAACCAAGCACCCTGTTCGCATTGATAGAGCTAGAAGCCTAGAACCTAGTATATGGATGATTATTCTGCATATTAAGAGCATCTCCAATAGAAGATCTTATAAGAACCTACTTTTTGTGTTCTTTTTCTTGCCACATCAATATACAATTCACCAAATCAAAAATGTACATATAACTCCACAATAGTAGTTCTTATAAGAACCTCTTTTGTGGGTCCCATGTAATTTTTCATCATCAATAATTATATTAAAAACCTATTAAATGTCGAAAAAAATGTGAAAAACTATTAAGATGTCGTTTCACACAAAGTTCAAGGTAAGAACCAAGGTTCTTATACAAGAACTCCAAGGATGTGAGTGTCTTATAAGGTGCGTTTGGTACACAAGACATAATAGGGATCACTGTTCCATGTTTGGCAGAATCTTTATGTGGAACAGAGTGGAATAGGCATGGAACACATCTCCACTCCATGACAAGGGGGAACAAACCTATATTTTACCAATATAACTTCAAATGAAAACACAATTCTCTTCTAAAACATCAAACAAGTCTGCCTCTTTATATTTTATTCATTTTTTAAATTTTATTTATAGTATTTTATGCTACTTAAACTTTCACTTTGCTCTCCTCAAATTATTATTTTTATATGGTTTCTATTTTTTTGATAACAGATATAATCTATTAAATATTATTAATAATAAAATAATAAAGAAAATGTATAAAATAAAAATCGGAAGCTACATAAACTTTCTATTTTGGTGTTATTTTCATAGTCTTGACGAAAACTTCCTAATGATATATTTTGTTATAAAAATATTTATTTTATTATAATTTAAATAAATTATGTAAATTAATCAAAATATATAAAAGATATAAACAACTCATGGGGGGTAAATTGGTCATTTTATCTATTATGTCCAGTTTTGTCTTACCAATCGCTGAACAACTATTTTGTCTTGCTTGTCTGGATACCAAACACACCTATAAGAACTCTCTCCAATGGTAGTTCTTATAAGAACCTGCACTTTTTTGCTTATGAGAACCTCCTACTGAGATGCTCTAACGGTTTATTACATTTTTCAAAACCAATGATGTATTATTTACACGATCATTGTACTGTTTTCAGGCCGTATGTCTACTTCTTGCTATACTATTGGGAATGATGGTATCTTCACTGAGGAAGGATGATATGGAGGAAGGTTTGGATTCAAGAGGGAGAGCATGGGAGCCCCTACTAAACCCGCATCCAAACCAAGCATCAGGATCGACTGGTGGTGATGGTAAAGCCTTTCATTCGGACATTTGGAGCTTGCGGATGAGAGAAAAGGTACTTCCTTGATTCTCATCTACGATGTTTTCTATATAATATCTGTGTCGATTATAGTATATTTTTGGAGTAACTTATGTTTGCGTCTCTATCGTTTGTTAAAATTACGACGCATGTGCTTGAGGTTTTCGTTCTTCTGGTTTGCAATTCATTACTATTTTCATCCTTGGGGCTAACTCTTACCTTTAAGTATGAGGGAGGAAAGCAACAATGAGTTCTAAAACCATAAGGACCAAAGCAACAATAAATTGTACACCACAAGGACGAAAAACAACAATAAATTGTAAATAATAGGGCTGAGAATCATAATTTTAAAAGTACAGGGATGAAAATAGCATTTTTCAACTAACTACAGAGACAAAAATGTAACTTATTTTTTATTTATTTATTACTATTGTTATATACTCCTTCCGTTCCTAAATAAATTTTCACAACGAAAAAGGCAAACGGTATTAGAAATATGCATATACTACAGTTTTTAATTAACTAAATGACAATTTTACTCTTAAAAATAGGAGTAATGAGTTTTTCATCTCATGATTAAGGGTATAATTGGAAAGTAGACACTTAAAGAGCAAGTGGACACTTACTTTTGGACAAATTAAAATAGAAATATGCGGACAATTATTTTGGAACAAAGGGAGTACACACACATATATATATATATATATATATAGTATATATAGTTCCCGGGTTGGGTTTCTGTGAGGATGAGAGTTAAGATGAGAAGTATAAGAAGGGATCTCCACTCTTGGATGCATATTAAAATGAGATGCACCGCATCAATCCCCGTATCAAGCGATCAGTTAAAACAATAACGAGGAAATTCAAATGGAAAATGATACAATCTTTTGCATTTGAATTCATGGGTGAGTTTGAGATTAAAGGTGATCAAGGGTCCAGATCTCTTGTTGCTTCTCACCTTAACTCTTCTTCTCACACGATCCTTCGCCTATAGTTCCCATACTACTGAAAATAAGCATGTGGCCCCCTTTTAAGTGGTTATCTGTTGATCACCAATAATGCACTATATACTCTCATCAAGTGTTTTAACAAAGATATAGCCCCTCGGCTATTGCAAAAAACTACTTGTAAATCATTTTTTGTTACATCGTATTTTTTCTAATTAACTTTTATTTTATTTTATAGCATGTTAATTATTTTGTGCCCCCACACGGAAAATTTTCTGGATCCGCTTCCATGGCATCTCGTCATTTTGGTCTTAACTTTCCGCAGTTAGTTCTTGCCACCCCTGACTTGCTTTTCATTCCCATTACAGTACGGATTGAATGGAAACCAATCAAATCCGAGTGCACCAGTTGACAGGAAAGTCTAAGCATCAAAAGCGAAAAGCGTTTTTATCGCTGGGAAGTCGGGTGAAAACCCGTGTATGTGTTTAGCAGACATGAAGCTTTCTCAAATTTGTACTGCAAAAGCTGCAATGCGAAACCAATGTGTTGGATAGAAGAAAGGCGAATCTTGCTAAAAAAGGTATTTCTGTATCATGTTTGTGTATTTTGTTTGTATAGATAGAAACGCGAGCCGTGTGACCATTTTCTAGCCCGCTAGGCATAACCGTGTTGTATAGAAACCTGTGTGCGTGCGCATGAGTGTGTGTATTGTACCACTGAAATGCAAAACATTTCCGGATTAATTGATTGAGTTCAGAAAAAGAAACCTATTTGTTTCTTCTTTGGGGTGCTTTTGATACACATGACGGGATAAAATAGGACATAACAGAACAACTTGTTAACGTTAGACTGGGACAGCAACAAAAAACAGACGGATAACTAAAGTAAAGTACCTGTTTCAGATTAAGATCATAAAACCTTCCAAAGTTCTTTCATCTGCATACCTCACTTTTGCCCATCCACTCTTGTTCGGTCAGGTCCAGTCCAGTCTGTGGGCTTGTTCATGTTTGTTCTTTTAACATGAACGGAATTTTTGAGGTTCATGTTTGTTCGTTTATGTTCGTTCATTAAGATGCTAAACGAACGAATATAAATGAACATAAACGAACAAACACAAATGAACAAAAGACGACCTCCATTACTCGTCATTTTATTTCTAAATAATAACATTATAAAACGAAAAACTGGATAAATTCAATTATTAATTTTACATATTAATGTTATAATATATATATATATATATATATATATATATATATATATATATATATATAGGGAAG